ATTCTTCACCTCACACATCTTGCAAGACCTCAATATAGGCTGTTGAAAGAGAGAAAATAACCTTATGTAGCAGGTATGAATCTCCATCCACAGATTCAGTCTTTTAATAGATGCCTCTGGTAGAAAGTGCTAATATTTCCAAATATTTCTCCAATATTTATTCTCCTTTTCTCTCAGAGATGGAACCCTGCACATTTTAGTTCATGGATTCTCAGAGTAAAGATCATATTTCCTTGACTACAGAATGTGTCCCTGTGACTACATTCTGGCGAATGGAACATAAACACAAGTGGTGTGCGAAACTTCTGGGAAGGAGTGTCCTGTCCTCTCAATTTCCCCTTTCTTGCTGTCTGTCGTATGGATGTCTATACATTTTAACTTAATCATCCCAACAACACTCGAAACATATAACTATTAGTATCCTCACTCTGCTGGTGAGGAATCTGAGGCACAGAGGGGTCAGGAACCTTATTCAAAGTCATATAATCCTGAGAGCCAGGTTTCCCACTCAAAAAGTGTGGCTCTTGAGGAGATTACGTGTGTAACTGCTGCCTCTCCTCTGAGGGAAACGGAATTAATACTGTTTCAGCTCTTTTCCTGCTGGGCTGGAGGGAAATGTGACTGTAGCCATCTTTGAGTGTCCCCTCCCCAAACTTCATATACACTACCAAAGTTTCAGATAGGACTTGGTGGTCACTCATCATCTTTCTACCATGGATATAACTGAAACGGCCATTATTAAGAGAGTAAATTTTTTAAAATGTTAGCTAGAACACAGGTGGCTCTACATATTTTCAGCCCAAAAAAGGAGAGAAGCCTCAAATACAGTTGTCAGACCCAAAAGAATTAACATTTAAGGAGTGATGAAACTGTACCTATCCGGCTCCCAGTTGCCCTGACATTGAGCCTTTATCTTACGATAATTTTATAATGAAAAATAAGCCCCCCTCCTTTTTCTTCTCCATTCAAGAAAATAGCAAGAGCTCCTGCTCCTTTGTCTAGAGAAGTTTGTGGGAGGACTTTATGGGTTCTGTTTTCAAAGCTGAAGTCCATTGGGATTTGAGGTGAGAGAAACTTCTTCCAAGTTAAAGGAGATTGTTAGACTGTTGAAGAGTAGAGTTGGATCAGTGAACAAAACTAGAGGTTGGATCCAAAACTAGAGGTTGATCACTGTTGGATCAGTGAACGAAGCTAGAGGTTTATATTGTTTTACAATTTCATTTTGGGGGGAAGGTCAGGTCTGATAGTTTCATGCTGTAATAATATATAAAATGATGAGGGAAATACTTTTTTAACTATAAAAGGACTAAATTTATCTTTGAAGTCTAAAAGCTGTTGGCCAAAGAACATAGATGATGTTCAGTGATAATCAACCAAGCAACTGAGAATTCACATGGTCCTGCCTGAACTTCTCATCCACCTGCACTGAAAACCCAGTTGTACTTCCTCACCTGTCAACTTGGCTGGGGACAGTAATAGTCTGTTGTATGGATACTCTTTCTGTCCCTTACTATTGGCCTGAAGATTTGGACTGCTTGGAGAATGAAAGAAAGTGGAACCAGAGAAGTACCTCTCCTGCCAACATGCCTTACTCTTTCAGTTAGGTGGCTCTGCCTTCCCCATGCCATTCTTGGATTATGGGGCTCTGGTCAATCCAGAAGACCCACGTAGCACCCAGTTTCCTTGACGTTTTGTGTGACCATGGATTATAGTACCACTCCCAGTCCAAAGGCTCATAATTCAGCCTGGGGCCATCTTTTCCTTTTCAAACCTCATTCCTCCCACAGTCCAAAGCTTATGAAAAGAAAGAACAGATTGCCCTGCCGTGAACTTCTCCTGAAGCAACCAAACATGGAGCCTTTAAAAGCAAAGGAAGGGAAAGGGAATGTAAGGCAAACCATAAATTATATCCTGAAATTATCCCGCTCCACACATATCACACATACACATATTTTATCTGAAGACTAAGAATAAACAACTGAGAATCCAGCAAAACAGTCAGTCTTCCAAATGTTCATCTGCCTCATGACCATTGAAGGCTTAGCTGGTGAGTCTTTCTGTCCTCAGTTGCCCATCAGAAGCCTTTGCCATGGGGGTCACTTCCAGTCTGTCAGCATTCATAGTCTCAGCTTCTCCTTCTTGCCAAGAAATCTGCATTTAGTTTCTTCTGGGATCCCTGAGCTTAGCCCACCTTCATTGTATTCTTTGTTGCCTGAATTCCAGGAGGCCCACTGCTGGCAGATAACTCACCTTTCTCATCTCGGACCACGGGACAGAGGTGTCCTTTCAGTTGTTTTCCTCAGGCATTACTATTTCTCTTTCTTTTCTCTCTATGATGTCTGGCGTCACTTGCCAACCTGCATTCCAAAATTCCCTGACATAAAACTCGACTCACAAAGCATTTTATGAAGCATGTAGTGCTCTATAAGTAGGCAATTTTTTTTCCTGTATTAAAACAGTTATATCCACTAAAATTTTATTTTCTTAAATAGTTGTACTCAAGAAAATCAGTTTTAAATGGAGGAAGTTAAAACAAGCAAATGATTTTGGATCTTTTCAAAACCTTTAGAAATTGATGTCCCTTGTTCTTTTTCTATTTTTTTATGTTGGAGCTACCTGTAACAAATAGGGTCCAGGGTATGTTGTGTGAATGTATTCTTGGCTCTAGTCCCATCAAAAGACTCAGAAAAATCTTTCCATGAGATATTCCAGAAAACTGCCACAACTGGCTGTCCAACCGACAGTTGCCAACTGGTTGTCCAACTGGCACCAGCTCATTTGAGATTGAGCGTGAAATGCTTAAACACTGATACCTCTGAGCTGCTGAAACAATGGTCTGTACTGTGGGGAGACCTGCTTTTAGCTGTAATTCCAATCACCAATTTATGTTTTCCTCCAAAAAGAATGAGGAGGATCAAATCCTCCCATTATCACAAGGTAACTGGAAAATGCAGAGCAGACTCAAGTGGCCAAGCTGTGTGGCAGAGGTGGATCCTGCAGATGTAAGAATACCCTCATGGGGCAGTGAGGATGGCAGGAATCTTAAGAACTCTCACGTACCTGACATTTCCTAACAGAGAGCCTGACATAGTAGATGCTCAAAATATCTTAGCTGAATATGAAAATGAAGGATATCAGAGGGAGTGCATGTACTCTGGTTGACAGTTATAAGACTCAGACCTTGAGGTGAATTCTAAGTAATTATTGATTAGAGATTGAGATTTCCCATTAGTGATAATCTGGATTTTGGTGTCTGATTATCCCTACCCCTTAAAACTCCTTAAGGTAAAATCCAAGTCCTATTGCCCTTAAGGTAAAGTCCAAACTCCTCAGTAAGCCACGTGTCGTGATTTTGGTCCTGTCTTTCTTTTCAGGTTTATTTTGAGATGTACTCTCCATTTCTCAACCATCCCCACATAAATTCTGTACATTAGCCACATCCAACAACTTGCTTCTTGAATAGATACATTATACGACATCCATACGGTGGAATACTACTCAGCAACAAAAAAGAATATTACTGATGCACACAGCTCAAAAATTTTATGTTGCTACCCAGACACAAGAATACATATTGATAATTCCATTAATAAGAAATTCAAGAACAGGTGAAACCAATCCATGGTGATAAAAATTAGAACAGAGATTGACTATGGTTGTGTTCTGCCTGCTGACCTAGTCAGATCATTGCTTTTTACTGGGGTGGGTACCTTGACTTGTTGGGCTTGCTGCCCACCCTGTGGTTTTGTTTGTGCTGTCTTTCCTGGTCAGATAGATATCTTCACCAAGGGCAATCACAGCATTTCCTATGTCTCCTGGCTATTGAGGCAGGTAAAATATGGAGAGCCGGGGAGTTCTCCATATATAATTTTGCCTATAATAAAAACATATGTCCATGGCTTTTATAATAAGGTATTGGAATTTTCCTCTTGAGTTGTATCCTGTTTACAGAGTAAACATGTTTACTTCCTAGATACTAACCTGGAATTGTGCCTCTGTTACTTCTTTTCTGATAAACATTTCCTTGACCACTGAAGGTCATGAAACTTTGATACTGTGCTCAGATATGGTAGTTGACAGCCCTGACCAGCCTCAGGAAAGGAAAAATCTCTTTCCTAGGGACTAATGTCTCATCATGCTTATTGTCATCAGACAAGAATAGTCAAATTTCCAGGGGTATTGTTGGCCAGTTACATCATCACTATCCTTTCTTAAGTCAGTTGGAGGGATGAGTGTGTTGAGGATAGACTTTCCTAGTATCAGCTCAGAATACTTGCTGTAAAGAAGCAAAGATAAAAATAAGAATATTATACCCTACAACTGACAAAAATTGAGGTTTGTCATTTAATTAACGCATGTATGTTGTCAGCACTATTGTTAAATCATCAAGATTATGCTAAGCTTTTAAGTCAGAAACAGAATGAAGGGAGGGAACACGTTTTTCTTTCTTTCTTTTTTCTTTTTGGCCACGCCACTCAACTTGTGGGATTTCAGTTCCCTGACCAGGGATCAAACCTGGGCCCTCGGCAGTGAGAGCTCAGAGTCCTAACCACTGGACCGCCAGGGGATTCTTGTGAACACATTTTTCTTGAGGTTCATAACTGACACTAGTGATCTGGCACAGAGCTTGTTAAAAATAAAGGGAGCAACGGTATAGAAAGGAAATTGATGTGCAAAAAGGTTAGAGAATGGAAGTTACAGAGAATTACTGTGTAATGGGTAGGGGAAACAGAAGGCAAGGGGTCACATGACATGTTGACTAGATGAAAGAAAGGCAGCACCTGGGAAGAAGACATAGTATTAGTTCACTAGGAGGAGAGACGCATGAGGAGCAGCCTTGGGGAAGAACAAGGGAAAGAGGCAAGAAGAAGCTGGCTGTCTCCACATACTGGAGACGTACATATACAGGAGTCTGGAAAGGAGGGAGGTGAGGACTATGTGAAGTGACTGAACCCATTCCTTTAAGGTAAGCCTTCAGATGCCTCTGTAATAATTAACAGGACACTTCAGACGAACTGCATACTTGAATTTGCAGCGCAGCAAGGAATAGGCCTCCTTAAGGTACCTTTGTGGAAGAAGAGCTTCTTGCCTGGCCTGTCCATCCCCTGATCCAGCATCGCAGCTGCTCCAGACACTTGGATCACGAGGTACAAATATCTACTTAGGTATTCTTATGTTGTTCTATAAAAACAACATTAAATATAACTAGGGGAGGAGCTGAACCCACATAGATGACCTGTATTTAATGAATATAAAGCTACTTAATAAACTTAAACATTATATTTTATATGTACATGTGGAAAACTCCACTATGACGCACAGTATTGCTCCAGTATTAATGGCCGCTAAAGAATTGGATGCTAAGGGAATGTTCTCTTCTGGATCTATTCTGGGCCTTCTTTCTTTGAAATCTTTGTGTATGCGATGATCCTTGTCTGTGTTCTACAAGGTTCTTCATAATGTGTTTTCCCTGCTCCAAACAGGATTGCTTGACTGATGGCTGAAAATTCTCAGTGGTTTTATTTGCAGTTTGTAAAACTCACACTTTGAGTGCAGGTTTTGTTACCAGCTCTTCCTGTTCTTAATTTGCTGCTTTACATGTTTAACTGAGGGACCTCTTAACAATAGCAACAATCATTGGAAAGACTAATCTATTCTATACACTTTATATATGTGTGAACAATTTAATCTTCACAAAAACTCCATGAGGTAGGGGCTAGTGCTATCTCTATTGCATTGTTGGGAGACGTGGGCACAGAGATGGGGAGTAATTTGTTCAGGGTCTTCGTACTGGTAATTGGCAGAGGGGTTTGAGCTTGGGCAGCATGAATCCAGAACTGGTGCCCTTAACTACTACCATTTATTGTCTCTCAAAAAGTTTCCTTCTTCTTCCTGTGCAACTTGGCTATTAGCATTATCTGGAATGGTTTCTCTGTCTTCTATCTAGCAATCAGAATTATATAGATCATTCTCTATTTTGATGGAAAGCTTAACCTCCGGTCAGACTGATATATGATAAAGTTAACTCTAGTATGCAGAAGTCTATTTTTTTTCCTTTTTTCATGTTATCAAATGTTTCCATAATGTGGGTTAACTTTGGAATTTAATAAATATGTTTTTATTCCCATCTATATATGCTAGCATTTAATCATCAATATTTTTTGCTTTAGTATATTGGTAATCCAAAAGAACAGGCCAAGATATAGCTGAAATTTGGTGTAGAATATTAGGGTGGAGGATGAAAAGTTGCAGTGGGCACATCTCGATGTGCTTCCTGAGCAGCTAGGAGAGCAAAGATGATGGTACCTTGATGTAGATGTTTAAAGTGGGAGAGAGAGTTCATAAATGGGTAGGGAGTAAAGTGAAGCTAAGCCTGGCCCCTATATCGTGAGGAATAAAGGTATGATAGGAGGGAAGGGCTAGTGAAGTAAATTTTGAGTCTGACCTTGAAAGAACTAATGGATTTGGACTGATAGCACGATACAGGGTGGGTGAGAGTATGAGCAAAGTTTGGAGGTAAAAATGACCAAGAAGCAGGAAATCTGCATCACGTCCCTTCATTTTTCGCCAGATGCAGCAATCTCTATTATGGTTATTGCTTTTTGGCTTCTCAGATAATTTTAACTTATTTTTAGAAATATTACCACAGCTTTATCTTTATTGTGACCAGATGTGAGCATGTTCAAAGCAATTGGAATTGTTTGGAAATAGTAGAGTTTGTGTAAAACAGACACAGCAGTCAGCGGTGGACTGCTTTAGATTATAAGCAAAAGCCAAAACACTTTTTGCACAAATGACAAAAAGAAGAAACAAATAAAAATCACTATAGGAATAAATGTAATTTATGTATCTGTTAAATACAGTATCATTTGGCTTATTAGATTGCTTCAAATGCCTATTTTCTATAAAATTATGAACTTGTAAGCTAATGCTATTTATTTTTAGTCATTAGTTCACCCTTCTCTATGAGAGGTAAGAGCCTCATAAAGCATTAGAGTTACAAGGACCTAAGAGGTAATTGGATTCAAGCCTTGCATTTGCAAAGGACAAAGCAGAGACTTAAAGAAATAGAATGATCTTCCCAAGGTCATGTAATTAGTTAGCATTGAAGCTGAAGCTAGAATTCTGATCTCCTGACACTTAGGTCATGAAGTGCTTGTTTTCCTAATATTCTCCAAGGTGGCCTTTATAGCAACACTTGGAAGTCAACCCCTTAAGTGTCTGGTACTAATTATATGATACATTACACACAGACAGAATGTTGCATTATAAATCATAAGAAGACCTTATTAAACTAAATAAAATATAAACAGAATTGAATTTTTGTTATATGACACACTAGGGAGATTGACATTAGAGGCAAGGATGAAGAATTATGGGATTATTTTAGGGAGACTTGAGTTTAAATAAAAAAAAAAAGGAACTTGATATCATAGTAAACCATGGTAGATTTTTCACCCGGGAGTAATGTGATCAATGTGGTGTTCTAGGAAGATTATTCTGTCAGTTATATGGATATTGGCAAAAAGTCAGATTGAGACCAAGAGAAGGAGAATGATAGCAGAGGCTTCTGAGGTGATCCAGAACTGACATGAATGTGTACCTTTCAGTGACAGTGGCAGCTCTGACCACTCTTCATTTAGTATCTGCGTCCTTTCAGGCTGCTATAACATGGTACCATAGACTGAGTGGCTTAGACAGTAAACGTTTATTTCTCACAGTTCTGGAGGCTAGGAAGTCCAAGATTAAGGCATTAGCAGATACTGTGTCTGCTGAGAGCCCGCTTCCTGGTTCATAAACAGTCATCTTCTTGCTGTCTTCACATGGCAGAAGGGGAAAGGGAGCTCTCTGCGGTCTCTCTTATAAGGGCACTAATCCCTGTCATGAGGGCTCTGACCTCATAACCTCATCATCTCCCATAGGCTCCACCTCCAAATACCATCACATGGGAGGTTAGGTTTCAACATATGAATTTTGAAGGGACACAAACATTGTCTGTGGCAATTAGTGACTGAATAACATCAATAATGAGGAAAGACAAAAAATTATTTATCATGGTTGCTAACCAAGACTTTGAAATCGATGGAAATTTAAAAAATGCAACTACCCAAGCCTCAAACTTTGTGATTCTGATTTTGTCCTCAAACTATGGATCCTTGCTCTATAGGTGATAGTGTATATGAAAGGATAAATGAGAGTGTTTTAGGGGGGCAATAGACAAAACTGACTCTTTAAAAAGCAGATGTAGAGATTCTTAGATTTATAAAAGCATGTTTATTCTTCTTCCTTGAGAAGTTATTTAATTAGTTAAATAAGTAAAGACCACTACTAATTGATGATGAGGGTATGTATTCCCTATAGATAACTAAGGTTAGACTCAACGCCCCCCCGACTTCCTAATATATAAGCATTTAGAAATAAGTAAATGTTACAGATGCAAGGATTATTCACTTTCAAGTGTGCTTGTATTTTTATTTTACCTTTTTTTCTTCTCCTCATTTTTCATTCTCTTTCCCAAGTCCTTTTGTACTGTCTGGTTTCTCTTTTAATACATACGACTCTGTCCTTACTCAGGCTCATCTCTACAGATGGAGTCCTTTGGGAGGAAGGATGGAAAGGGAAATTAATGGTGCCAAACCTCCTACCTGAGTGAGAAGACAAAGTAATCATGATTGTTTGTCTTTAGAGAAACAGTGTGGTAGGATTTATTTGAAAGCACGGAATCCTGCCTCTCTCTGCCTTGTTCTGCTCTACTTCAGATATTCTGATCTGAAAGTCCTGCTATAAAAATTGAAAAATTCATTTAGATTTTTTAGATTTAAAAAAAAATCTTCAATCTTTTAAAGAGTGCCACTCACTGTTTTTCATTCCAATGTTGTATGTATCTTAACCTCGACCCTGTAAACTCCAAAAGCACAGGCTGAAGATTCACAAATTCATGTCTCCATCTTGGACTCCTCTGAACTCTAGATTTGTATAGCCAACTGCCTGCTCAGCATCACCACTTGTATGTGTAGCAGGCATCCCATTTTTAATGTATTCATAACTGAGCTTATTGTTTTTCCCTCCAAACCTGTCTCCCCCACCCAGCCTTTCCCATTTTAATTACTTACAACTCCATTCTTATGGTTTCTTGGGAACAACAACAACAAAAACAAGACCCTTGGAGTCATTCTCAACTGGTTTCTTTCACTCAATTCTCACATCTAATTTTGTCAGCAAATCCCATTCACTGTGTCTTCAAAATACATCTTGGCTTCCAACTATGATGGACTGGATTGGACCTAACCAATCCTCTTCCTGAGAGCAACTAGAAAATCTGGATGAAATACAGAAAAACATCTGCTTGAAGGCTTTGTATGGTTTCCAAGGCAGCCAGGATTTGAAGAGTCATAATCCTAGAATAAAGAGAATGGCAGAGAAGTGATATTTACCTTCTAAGCCACGTTTGCCCATGAGGCAGTGCTGGCCAGGGATTAGAGAAGCTGAGCAGAGAACAGTTATCAGAAATCTGGTGGTGCTGGGAGATAAAAACTGGAGTACAAGGTCTGCCAGGTGAATGGGCCCAGACTCTCAGCTGAGAGTTCTAAACGACAACATGCAAGAAATAAGGGGAAACCAGAAATAGATCAGCTTGAGGAAGATTGAAACCTTTATCCCAATCAGCTTAAGCTCTGATTGGGTCAGTGTTTCTGCTCCTATTCAAAACTGCCTTCTAGAAACTTGAGAAAAGCCCTTTGGAGGAAGAATCACCCTTTCAGTCCCTCTACAATTTTTCTGTCCAATGTCCTGATTTATTACTAGACAGGACCTTGGGAAAGAGTAGAGAATAAAAATACTCACAGGTGATTCAGATATTGGAATTTTAAATAACTGAAAAATTGATGACAAAATGGGGAGTTTCACTGGAAAGCTGACATCTATAATAAAGAATAAGTGGGAATTCAAGAACTGAAAATCATCCTTTCCTGATGGTGATAATTTTTTTTAATGTCTTCTCTATTTTTCTTGATAAATCAGAAGTTTTTCAATTTTACTGGTTGTCTCAAATAACAAATTTTAGGTTTTATTCGTTCTTTCTAGAGAAATGGATTTGTTTCCACTGGGCAGCTATAGGTAATCTAGTAAACCACTCTAGGAT